AGATGGATGTCGATGAGGAGCAAGACGTCGCGACCCGCATAGAGCTTGCGTCGGGCGGGTTCGGAGTGACAGACTTTGAGGACGAGGGATAGCGCATCCAGGCCAAGTTGTACATGCCGTTGGTGATTTTTGAGCAGGTTAACAAAGCAGGTTTCTCCAGGGTCGTTTTTCCTCTCCAACGTCAATTGCCGGAACACAAGTCGGACATCTCCTGTCATTTAGCAACGGAAACGGACAAGCACCCGCAACTTGAAGCAGTCTGTCTGATTCTGACTTACACAGAACAAACTAGTACAAAATCGTCGTGGTCGACATTCGACGGCAAAAAGGACCTTGACTTGGAACTTGAACCTTTTGTTCGTCGGTCGAGATAGGTGCACTGGCCGCGGCACATCGTTTGACATTGAAGCAAGAGTATCATCCAGTCTTGCGGCCTCGATCGGACACGTCCAATATATCGTTCCAGTACAAGCCACTGGATAACGGCGTAATGTTTTCCGTTCCAGTTCAAGGTATGCGGTCCTTGGTGTTCCATCGGGACCACCACGAACTCGCTCCCGAAAAACAGTATCGTATTACCGGACTCCCATTCGTACAAGGGTCGCAATTATCCTGCCTGACAGCCCATCCTCACACCCAAAACTTGAAGCGCCATGGAGGCACGTCGCCTGCGGCAAAGCCCTGCATAGCACATGCGGCCTCCCGTATCGCGCTGCTGGGATACGTCTTCTCTGCTATGATTTGTCCGAGTTTGAAGGTGTAAGAAACGAAATTGACGTTGGACAACTTCCCCGGAAAAAAAGCTGGCCTATAAGCAACCAGTAACCTAAGCTGATAATCGATAATCTCGTAATGTTTCTGCAGTCTGAGACCTGAGTGCAAGCTTGAGTCTCCAATTTCTTTGGTTCGTGACTTACGTCACGGTACTGCCGTGACTGCAAATTTCTCCATCGACTCCGAGTCAACTACCACTACGATCAAGTGAAAAAGCTGCTTTCTTCGCGGCTAAGCTAGATGGCTGAGATCCACGACCAGTTTGATACGATCCTTATTCTGGATTTCGGCTCCCAGGTCCCTCTGGCCATCTTGCGCACTGAGGATCTTTTGTTCACCCCCAACTCAGTATAGTCACTTGATTACACGGAGATGCCGCGAGCACAATGTTTACGCTGAGCTGCTGCCTTGTACCACTCTGTTGAAGGATGTCAAGTTCAAACCCAAAGGTCGGAGCAGTACTCGTTCGTATCATTCGCTGCCCATTCAAGTAAATCCGCGACAGGAATAATTCTGTCTGGCTCGCCGTACTCGGTGTATGATAAAGACTCCCCCCACGCTGATCCTGGCATCTATGAACTCGGCGTCCCGATTTTGGGGATATGTTATGGTCTTCAGGTAGACTTTATCTTTTCACACCGTCCTTGAATATGCCTTCTCATCATGTGTAGGAAATTGCGTGGCAGATGAAAGGGAAAGTGGACCCATGCGACCACAGAGAATACGGGTTTGCGCAGGTGAAAATGGCAAAGATCGGTGGAGAACATGCGTCTGTCGATGCCTTGTTCGAAGGGCTCGGGGACGAGATGCAGGTAATATATGTTTCTGTGAGATCCCAGGTATCCTGATATTTATTGTTCAACAAGGTGTGGATGTCCCATGGCGACCAGCTGTCAGCGCCGCCGCCCGACTTTCATGTCATCGGATACACAGCGACGGCACCCTATGCCGCGCTCGCACACAATACCAAGCCAATCTATGGCATTCAATTCCACCCCGAAGTCACTCATTCCCCCCACGGCAAGGAAGTTATTGGTCGTTTCATTCTGAATATATGTGGCTGCCAAAGACATTGGACGATGGTAATACATGCTCTCTGATATTCGTTCGATATTGACTTCGCTTTAGGAGGAATTCATCGGGAAAGAAGTTGCTCGGATTCGGGAAATATGTGGCCCGACTGGCCGCGTAATTGGGGCTGTGAGTGGGGGCGTCGATAGCACCGTCGCTGCTAAGCTTATGCACGAAGCCATTGGAGACAGGTTTGATCGATTCTCCTTCAATTTCGAAAGCAGCTCACAGTATTCAGATTCCATGCCATCATGGTCGACAACGGCGTTCTCCGCTTAAATGAGGCCCAACAAGTGAACGAAATGCTCAACAAGGACCTGGGCGTCAACTTGACGGTGGTCGATGCGTCCGACTTGTTTTTGTCGCGTCTCGAGGGCATCGAGGACCCCGAGCAGAAACGCAAGATCATAGGTAACACTTTCATCAACGTCTTTGAAGCAGAGGCCGCCAAAATCGAGGCGGTCGCTGCCGAAGAAGAGAAAAAGGGCGCCGCCGCGAAAGGACGAGTCGAGTGGTTGTTACAGGGGACATTGTACCCCGACGTCATCGAGAGCATCAGCTTCAAAGGTCCCAGCGCTACCATCAAGACGCATCACAACGTCGGTGGTCTGCTCAAAGACATGAAGCTGAAGCTTATCGAACCGCTTCGGGAGCTGTTCAAGGGTGACTTTCGATTTTCATGTAGAGGAACTGCCCAACTCATTGTTCATCTTTAGACGAAGTTCGTGCGCTCGGTCGCCTTCTTGCGATCCCAGCACCACTCGTCCAACGCCATCCGTTCCCCGGCCCAGGTCTCGCCATTCGGATCCTGGGACCTGTAACACGGGAACAAGTAAAAATCCTACAACTAGCGGACAACATCTACATCGAAGAAATTCGAAAGGCAGGTCTGTACGACCAGATCGCCCAGGCGTTTGCCGTTCTCCTACCTGTCAAAGCCGTCGGCGTAATGGGTGACCTCCGCACGTACGAACAGGTGATTACTTCTCGCGTTCATCACGATATGTTTACTGACTTCTACGCAGGTTATCGCCCTTCGTGCAGTTCAAACCGAAGACTTTATGACCGCGGACTGGTGTGTTCTGTGTGCTCTTATCTGTCTAATCATCTGATCTGTTCGATCTTCGTGCAGGTATGTCTTTCCCCCGGAGGTCTTACGCCGCATATCTTCCCGCATTACCAACGAGGTTGCGGGGATTAACCGCATAACGTATGACATATCGTCCAAGCCTCCCGCTGTAAGTCGCATTCCTCCCCCCCGCATTGATGATACATTGATATCTCCAAAGACCGTCGAATGGCTCTGAGTATCGCGCTGTACATCTATAGATGTTGGAAGAGAAACTATAGAACTGTGATCCCGCTTCCCGATACCATATGAGGTGCGGATGCCCTCAGGTGGAGCCTAGCTGGGTGCATATCCGGGCATAGTACACGTTAGCCTCTTGTAAATGCTATAATCAAACTCAGCTCGTACCACGCTTGGTTCACCATCGATGTATGATAATTTGTCCGAGCGGCCGTTAAAGTCGACTTGACCTTTGGCGCAAAATACCACAAGTCCGCCTGGCATGTGCATTTAGCGGAGGCTGTGACAAGATTTTCACAAGTCCGCTTTGACTATTGTAGAATCATCAAGCAGTACCCCACTGCGCATGGCCCGTATTTCGACCACGCTTGCGAGAGCTCTAGGATGAAGAGACTCTTTCGCCGCAATACTAACGTGCGGGCGATGGAGACGCGTCGCCCAGGCGGGGATAGAGACTGCGAGACGACGCGGTCCCACCTCATCAAGACGGTCTACGACTTGCCACCGGATCACATCCGGAGATTGGTCTATACCAAGTTCATCGCCCCGCTCCAGCCAGCCGCCGCCCCCGTGGCAATTTCCGACGACGCAATGGAGTCGTCTTGACCGCGTCGCACGTTTAGTTAATTCGCGTATACTTTTTCGGATAGTTTCTTGGGCAGCGTAGATAATTTTGGTGACATGTTGATTTTGTACTCTGCGTGAACCGCGCTCAGAGTAGTTCTCAATTGCAGGCTGAGGTCCAACGATCCCCACTTGAACGATGATTGAGTGTGGGTCTCAAATCGTTCACTCATCGCTCAGCAACAAGCCGTCCAGAAGCAGGCCCATCGGAGACGACGACTGCGCGATTGCCCAGCTCCTCGGCGACTTTGTCTTGACCGTCGCTCACTCGCACAAGCTGTTGCATGCATTCCACCTTCAAACCGTCTTCACTCACGCCCGCTCACACATCTTGGATTTTGAAGACACCCTCAACTTGGTCGACCAGCGCTCCACGCCCGATTCTCTTTTTTGCTGGACTTGGTTACTGCATTCCAACAGTCTTCCCTGCCTATACAGACATTCGTGCATTTCATTCTAAGTCCACTTTTGATCTCGACTTAGTGCATTTTAACCTTTTTTTCTTTTTCAATGCTGTTTCGCGAGAAAAATCCGTAAAATTCTCAGAAAATTCGGGAAGTATCTAACGTACATAGACAACATTCGAGAAGTCTGTATGAGGTGCGGTTGTCCTCAGGCGGAGTCCAGTTGGGTGCATCACCGGAGATGCATGCGTTCACCATCACTGATGTCTCTTATAAACACTACAACAAATATCAGCTCGTACCACGCTTAGTTCACCATCGATGTATGATACTTTACCCGAGCGGCCGTTAAAGTCGACTTGACCTTTGGTTGCAAACATGAATAGCGCAAAATACCACAAGTCCGCTTGGTGACTGGGTACATGTATTACATTTTAACGGAGTGTGAGACAAAAATTTCACAAGTCCGCTTTTGATATTGACTTGTGAAATTTCGTGTCCCTTTCGTGTCCCTGTGCTGCAAATGTTAAAATACACTAAGTCCGTTTTTGATCTCGAGTGTGTGACAAAAATTTCACAGGTCCGCTTTTGATGTTGACTTAGTGCATTTTAACCAATTTTGCGATTTGCAGCACAGGGACACGAAATTTTTCTAAGTCCGTTTTTGATCTCGACTTAGTGCATTTTAACATTTTCTTTCCGATGCCGCTTCGCGAGAAAACACTGGGAACTGCTCAGGACCACTCAGAAAAATCCGCAAAATCCCAAGAAAATTCAGAAACCATCCTACCTACCTACACAACTTTTTCAGAGGTCGCACACCAATGGTGAAGCGGTTATCATGCTTGCCTTCCAGTGAAAATAGAAATATATTGACTTTGGCAGCAAGCGGCAGGGGTTCGACTCCCCTTTGGTGTATACTTTTGTATCCTTTTGCACGTTAAAGAAACCCTTCCTTTTCCTGCGTCCAAAGTCACCTCCCAACATGCAAGCATTGCAAGGTCCAGTTTTTTTAGCAGCTGGTCAACCCACGCAAGGAGGAAAGCCGAGAGTACTAACAAGGTCGTTACACGGGATCAAAAGTTTATGTTCCCAAAGCGGACTCGCTTAGTACGACTTTGTCTTGGTCGTTTCCTTTGTTCTTCTTCATCGTGGGACCAAGCTAAAATGCGGCGCTGCTCCGGAGCTTCCCCAGCTCCTCATTGCCAGAGACATGCAGCTGCCGTTCAGTCTATCGCACCTGATCTTCACCCCCAAACATGTCCGTCTCCCGAGTGAACAATTTCAGCACCATCCCACTCGAGCCAAAGCAACTTCGTAAATACCTTTGTTCCGATCCCCGAGCTCCTCTCATTGATAGCCCAGGACCCCAACTCGTTGGCCTGCCCGCCTTGTAGCCGGCACCAAGTCCCTCAGGACATTCAGGTCTGCACGCAGGCTGCGCGGCTTAGCCTCTTCTCCACCAGAAGAGGTGGGGCAAGATGAACTCTGGCCACGACATGCAATGAGCAGCGAGGTTCGTTATGGATGCAAAGTCTGAGCGAATTTTTCCAATGTCCACTTCAGTAAATTGTAGATCTTGGCGAAATCCATTCGACATAGTATGCTTCACGAAAAAAAACTATTGTCTCAAAAGCAAGGAAGTACATAAGATACAGGGTGTCAGCCTCGAATGCTAGGGAACTATGGGTGGTGCAGAGATAAATATGCAGTGAGAATTGTACGATGTGGGGGAAAAACAAGAGAAATATTGAACGTGATCATGACGATTCGGATGAACCAAATGCACCCATCTCGGTCACTCCCCCTCCGCCGGTGAACATAGCCTTCAGCGTCTGGTCATTTCTCCTCTGCCTCACACGCTCCGCCTCCTCTGCCCCTCCAGTCATCTTGAGCTTCTTCCCTGCAACAAAGTCGCTCAATTCCGCCTGCATCTCGTCTGACCTGCTGGCGAGCTCCTTCTCCCGGCTTTTCTGACTCGCTTCGATGGCCTTCATCCGTTTCTCAGGATCTACAGACGCGCCCCGGATCTCGAGCATTACGGTGCTCAACCCACCGTGTCCCTCTTCCGGAGGCGGGGGACGGAATCCTCCTCCCTTCCGTCCGCCACGACTGCCGACGGACCCAGGACCCCGGATGGAGATGATCTTTTCCACATGCCCATACACCTCGACCAGAGCCTTGTGGTCCTCCAGTAAATCTTCGAGAAATTGCTCCTGGTGAGTGAGGAACCCTTGCTCGTCGACGATGTTCTGCAGCTCCTCCTCCCAAGTCTTCTTCCACATCGGCTTGATCGTATTGATGTGCTCCTTCAAGCTCTCCAACTCGGTCGCAACAGAGTCGATATCCTTCTTGATGTTTCGAAAGTACTGCACTTTGGGACTGATATGGCGCTTGATCACGTCGTCCTTGACACCCTCGACGGTGTCTTGGAGTTTCTCCACCTCCGTCAACACGTTCTGACTCCGCGTATCGAGCTTCTTCTTTCCGGTGTCGATGTACCCCCGGGCCCCACCAACGCTGGTGCTTGCAAGCTGCTTGACGGACTGCGTCTGTCCGCGGAGCGTCCCCAGCGAATCCTTGGTGGACTTCATGAACTCCGTATATAGCTGCCGCATAACCCCCAAGTCGCGCCTCAGGTTCTGCACCTCGTCGAATTGTGTTTTCAGATCCGAAACGACGCGGGTGGAATAGTCGGACAACGAGCCACCAGTCATTTGAGGCTGAAGAGACTGACCCGTCATTTGAGGGTGAATTGTGGGCATCGGGGCCGCCGCGGATGGGAAAGAAACGCCGTCTCCGACAAATCGCGAGAGGCGGCGAGCGACGTGCTGGAACTGGCGGTCGGTCGGTCTGTTCGGCGCAGGAGTGCTCTCCGCTAACGGCTGTCCAACAATGGCAGGCACATGTATAGACTGCCTGTTGTTATGGACAGCCGTCTTGAGTTCTTTGATGTCCTGCGATAGATTCGAGATTTGGGCGTCAATGTGTTGCTTGATCTGGTCGAGGGCTTTAAAAGAATAGATGATCAGGAACGACAAAACGGGCTCGAGGAGGTGACGTACGCTCAATGTTCAGAGAGAGCAAACACTTTTCTTTGACCTCTTCCATGTCTTCCAGCTCATACTGCACGCCGCTTGACGGATCACGAATGTAGATGGCCGGAAAGTTCTCGAGTCCCGGATTGTACGAGAACTTGTCAACGAACAATACCCGGAGCGAGGCGAACGATAGGCCATGCTCCATCGTCACTTTCTTCACTTCCCTCCCAAGTTGTAAGAAAACCGTGAATCGGGAGTGGTCCCGCGTTGGTTCTACCGCAGGAGGGGGAGCATCAACCACAGGCTGCTCGGGAGGAGCTGACACTGTCGGGATCACAGGTTCGGGGGTCCGCGCTGGAGTTGCAGGAAGCGGTGGTACGGGAGGGGTGGAAGCCTGACGTCGTTCAGGTGTAGCGGGACTTGTGCGTGACCTCGAATTGCTCCTCTGAAGAGGAGGCTCCGCTGGCTCCTCATCGTCAACCTCTGTAAGTACGGCAAGATCCCCAGGCGTTAATGCTGATGAAGCAGCCAAAGACCGCCTATTCGCAGCACCCGCTCCAGTTCGCGTCGACCGCTCCCGCGTAGTCGGAGCACCGGTCATCTTCGATATGTTATAAGTCGAAAAGCGCTTCGACGCTCTACGTTCCAGCGTATCGCTCTTTTTAAGAGCAGCGAGAGAATTTGCCATAGCGGGTGCCTGAAGAACGTCTATGGGCGGCGTCTCCGGAGGAGGGGGAGGAGACATTGAGCCGTTAACTCGGTCAGGATCCGGACTTGGACTCGACGGTTCCACCACTACGGCAGGCGTGGCGAGAGGTTTATCCACTAGCGAATAACGCTTTACGCTCGCTGGAACGTTTGGCGTAGCGGGGAGCATTACTGTTCGATCGTTTGGAGAGTTGGAAGGATATTGCTCTGTGTCGGCGGGAGGCGGGTCGATGGGGGGCGGAACGGTTCGCGTTCTCCGCGATTGGGAGTCGGTCTGGGGAGTATATTCCGGCTGAGGATTAACCTCTGATTCCGTCACGGTGGGCGCAAAACCGCCGACAAAAGCTTGATCTCCGTTCATCGACCCATTCAGCGACGAGGCAGTGAATGACGGTGAGCTAGGATCCTTTCGTCTACTAGACGACTGCTGCGTACTCTTACGCGAGGAAGCGCTGTCCCTGTCTCGCAGATTGGTGGTTGGCGTCGGAGGACTCGGAGTATCATTCTCGCTAAAGTTCGTCCGGGAGAGCTGGGATCGATGAGAACCCTCCCGGCGCGAGCGAGACGAGCGACTGACTGCGCCTTCGGATCCCGACTGCTCAGACCGCCGATGATCAGAAACTATGCGTCGGTATATGGACTGCTTTCCGCGAAGGCCTTGCAGCAGATTCGTGATTATCTGCCGCACAGTTGGAAGATATAGTTCCAGGTTATCTGGAGTAGCGTCCTCTGCAAGACATTGCTCCAGAACATTTCGTAAATCGTCGGGAACGGTCATTAGCTCGCTGGAAAAACCTATCAACGAATACGAATAGGTGGAACGGTATGGTACATACGCCATGTCAATATTGAAGGCCGCAAATGCAGCGACGGCAGCATTGAAGTCGTTCCCCAATCGTACATACACGTCGCTCACATTGGTTTCGTCAATCTTCAGTAAACTCCATTGTGTGAGCGCCTCCAGCAGTTGTTTGATTGCCACCAGCAGACGAGTGACCGCAGACTCAACAGCAGGCTTGATTCAGAGGTTAGCTATGCTGTTTGGGGCAGAAGGCGCATTGAAACGCACATGCGCTGCACTTCTTGAGCTTCCGCGCTCACTCCGCCCTGACGCCGTCGATGAACTTGACTGGTTATTCTCGCGACGTGAGCTAGAGCCCGATCCTGGTGCTGGGTTCGTGGGTAATGTCGTCCTATTAGACATCTGAGGCAGAGGCCGGAATCAAGGTCATGGAATGAGCAGAGAGCCGTGACCAGTCACGTCACTCGTCTTCTCTCGACCATCTCCAGATTTTACGCAGGCGGTACAGCAGGGGTTGTAGCCTCTGTCGGAGGGGTGGCTCGCAATGACAGGTGGTACTACTATCGCTGAACGAGCTCCTCGACAAGAAGCCGCGCGTCTCTGTTATCTGCCCACCGAGATCCTTGCAGATTTTTTTCAATTCGCGTGTGTTACGTCCAGTAGCCGTCCATCCACCCTGAAATCCCTTTCTCATGTCTGCCGTGTCTGGAGGCGCGTCGCCCTGGGTGAGCCACGGCTTTGGACAGAGATTGATTACCAGCACGATCATCCCGATTTCGTTAAAGAGCAGCTGCGCCGCTCTGGGAACCTGGCTGTGGTCGTAAAAGCCCACTTTCCGATGCACTTCAATCGCGGAATGCAGAATCTTCGTTTGGCATTGAAGGAGTCCGCCATCGGCACCCTCGATATCCAGGGTCCACCCGAGATCCTGGACCAGGTTTTACAAAACTTAGACGCAGCCTTCCTGAAAACCTTATCCTTATTTGTTCCTTCCGGGCAGATGCCCAAAGATACTCTATACCCTGGACCCTCGTTCCATTTGACTGCTCCACAACTTCGAACACTCTCCCTGTCCAATTTTGTCATTCCTTGGGACGCAACAATATTTAGCAACCTGACCCATCTTCGTCTTCATTTGCAAGACCCCGCTTTTGCCCCGTCAATGATCCAGATTCTCGGGATGTTAACGTCCTCGCCTATGCTGAGGGAGCTGAACCTCCTTCATGCCATCGAAAATTCATCTCGACTCCCTCTCCATGAATCCGTTGGTGTTGTCCCGGTGACCCATCTTGCGACCTTATTAGTCGATGATGATATCTTGAACCACATCTTTCTCCTCCGTCACATCGAGATCCAGACGCCCTGCA